TCTCTCTCTCTCTCTCTCTCTCTCTCTCTCTCTCTCTCTCCTCCTTCAACCCAGTTTTCTCCACACGCACCACAGTCATCACCCTGCACCTGCCTTGTATCAGCTTTGCATCTTGACGATGGCTTTACGTCCATTTCTGTGTGCATATTGCGCAAACTAGTGTGTGTGTTCAATACCCATCAGCTCAGTTTTCTGACCCCCCCCCCCGCCTCTCCTTCAACAACTTGCTGCTTCTGCCATTCTCCTCCTTTCCTGTTGTCTTGACGTCCATTCATTTCGAATGGTTCGTTCAAGCCGTTTACTGCCCTGCTTGTTTCTTTCTAAACACTTCTCTTCATCTTTTCGTGTTTACTTGATGTAACACTGAATATCCAAACCCTGCATACGGTGCAAAACCCCTCTGTAATCCATCCTTTTTTTCCCTTTTTCTCTTTCAACTGTTCTGCTCCCCATCATCCCCCCCCCCCCCACCTCCTGACTATTTTGCTCCCCTCCTCCCGCTCTGACTGAGTAAGTGCTGCAGCATCAGTGCATGTGTGTATGTGTGACAGAGCTGCAAAGAGCAAAAGAGACGGACAAGTGTGCATGTGTGTGTGTGCGTGCAAAGGGGAGTGTGGGAACGAGAAGCACCGGGGATCCTGAGCCCGAAGGCGAGCTCTGTGATTAGAGTGGGGGGGCTCTTCTGCCTGTGGATGTGTTTGCCAGGACAACGTTCTCTGCAGGCGAGCGTATGTGTGTGCGTGCTGCCAAAACCGAGTGCGGGTATGTGTGTGTGCAACGGTGTCGTCGATCAGCAAACGGCTCTTCGCATTATGCAGCCGACGGTGCTGATCACACTTTGAGGGCTGATTCATCTGGACCAGGTTGTGTGAAGACAGACGGGTGAAAGACAAATAGATGGAAAGAAAGGGAGACAGTCTTAAGCTCCTGATGCTCTGGATCTTCCTGGACATCCAAGGGTCTAGACCATTTGTGGGATGCCGGTAGCCCCCCTATGATCCCCTGCACATTGGAATTGCAGACACAACAACAAGACACACATCAAAAATTTCAAAAAGCGTTTGAAAAAAAAGAACTCTAATCAATGTTTGACTTAAAAGGAAGATTTTCATTTGACATCCTTACAGACTAAAACAAGAGGATCTACAGTCTTTGCGTGTTTTTTTTCTTCTGCTTGAAATTGGTCCTATCCGTGGTGGTGGGCTGTTGCAGGATCCTATCCCAGAACCGAGTGGGGAGATAAGAGGCTGGCAGACAAGACGGGACAGACACAGGCATGGCTCGCCTCAACTGGTGCCTGGCTGCTGTCATTAGCTGGGGCAAGTTCCTCTTCGCCTGTTTCTTTCCTCTGCGGGGGGCCAAACGAGACAAGGTAAGACCTGAAAGAGGGGTGGGGGGGGGGGGTGCAGAAGGGTGCCTGGAATGGGAAATAATGCACAGATTGAGTCAGCCTTAAGAGGCACATGATTCAAGTGCCTCAACCTATGCAAGTGTTTCAATGTATCCAAAACGATCATTCTGCATGCAGTGTTGATCAGGATGGGCCCTGGTCTCAATCTCACTGCCAAACCGTGACTTGCAGTCGGCCAGGTCCTACCTAAACCAACAAATGACGTAGAAACGAGCTTTGCAACTGCTCTTGGACCACTGTCTCTGGAAGACTAGTTGGTTTCCATACAAGTGCTGGTTCAAGGTCAGTGTTATTTCTCCAAATGGTCCACATGCAGCAACTTTAGGTGGAGGGAAACCATAGAGATCAGAGTTTAGATCTGCCACTGGATCCAAGCACTTAGGGTCACCTTGATTTCACAACTGCAGAATCAAAGTGCACCAATATTGTTTTTTTCCCCTTTGGTGTAGACCAAAGAAAAAGTGCACAATATCCCTGTTGTTGGGACAGAGGTGAAGTGTGAGTCACGTCTACAGCATTCTGGTGGTATTTAAGGCCAGGAGTTCACTGAACTGTAAATGTGCGTCCTACTTCTTTGTCTTAATGGCTTTTGGCAATTCTTGCGTTTCTCTGTTTTGTTAACAGCAGTGGTGTGAAAAATCACTCAAGGTGGTTTGTGAGGGTTTTTTAGTTTTGCACACCTCAAGCATTTATGGAGCATAAAAGGACCTTTTTGTAGCAGTTGTACCACGGCTAGAAACCAAAAGCCTGTAATGCGCAGTATCCTCAGCGGTTTTCACAAATGATCTATTGCATGTGAGACCGTTGAGCTAAAACACGGTACTGGGTCTTTCAAAACCGACGTATAATTTGTTTTGATCCTTGTCTTGGCAAATTGTTTAGATTCCATTCATAAAAGGCTTCAGACTTGGACATTGCCATGCGGTAATCCACCATTCTGACAACAATTTGTGTTGCAGTCCCATTAGAAAGTCTGGTGGTGACGCTGTAGCGTGCATTTTTGCAGCTGCCCATCTCCTCCAACACCAGCAGCAGCAGCAGCAGCTGCCCTCCCATCCTGAAACCCCTCCTCACCCAGCTGCCGCAGCTTCTTATCTCTACACCCCCACTTCACTCCAACACCCCCCAAACCATTACACTCTTTTTACTGTTTACGTGTGTAGAGCTGATTAGTGCCTTGCCGACATACACTTTTTACAGTATACGTTGTTCAAACCATATTTTTCTTACTTTCAGAACTGTTTTTTTCTTATTACACATAGAGAATAAATTAACATAACATAACAAAACATTTTTGTGTTCACATAGAATTCCAACATTGCTAAGGGAAATGTCACCTCGTTTCAATGTAGCTGAACTTGTCGTATTTACAAATGGAGTTGTTTTATTTTTGTAATTTTTTTTGTCTTAGTTAATATTTTAGGATAAAATAGGTAGAAATAATTAGAAATATTCCTAGGTGCACTAAAAGTAACGTTTGTTTTAATTGTTACTTAAATTTAATTCAATTTTTCCTCTTTAATACTCACCATCACTGCAAAATTTTGCATCAAAGCACCCCTTACAACAGATTATGAAACCACATAATTATAGAATTTATGAGGTTCCTTTATGACTGTAATAATTTTACATTTTGTTGTAGTTGAGTTCGCTTCTCTGTTCTTATTTTGATGCTTTTTTGTTTCATGGTCAGTTTTTTATTCTTGTACTATAATTTTACATTTATGAACTGGCTTCTGTCCGTTTCTTTTCTTTGGTCATCAGTGTACTTTTATTTTGAGTTTTTGCTAACGTTGTTTTATTTTCATCATGTAACTTTTCTTTAAATTACCGTAGTAATTTTGTCTTTAAGTTGTTTTAATTTGCATGTTTTTGGTGAGTTTAATTAGCATAATTGCACTGGATTATGTCAATTTTATTTTCATTTTTGTTGCCCTATTACATCTGTTTTTGTAAGTATGACATCTGCATTTCCTGCTTCCAAAAAGCAGGTAATAATGCTTTCATTTGTCTATTATTAAATATCTTGTGAACCAGTGAACAATCTTTAATGAAACTTGCGGAAAGTAATCATTGGATGTATATCTACAAAAGATTTACTTAGTCGACCTAATTCAAGATGGCTGCTATCGTAAACCAATCTTATAAAATACAATAAATTTTACAGATACTGATGTAAAATTTGATGTTGTGGAAGGTGAGTCTCATTCACAACAAATATTCTTACGACTAATAAACTACGCAAGATTGGGTTAACATTTCGCTATTAACAATTGGAACTGAACTCTGTTAGTAAAATAATATTTCATGGAGTACAGAACAGATTGTATTCAAACATTCAGCCAATAATCCTGTAACGGACTTCTACAATTGATCAAGTTTCAAAGGGATCCCTGATCAGTTGCAACATTAGACTTTATTTAATGAACATACGTTTTAACTGTAAAATAAAGACTGTAAAAATACTGTAGGCTGTTTAGTTTTGTAAATTTTTAAAAATATATTTTAACACGTACGGAGCCATTTTTTTACACACAAAGCATTCTGGGTAAATGATGACGTGGATGGGTCCTTGGTGTGAGCGAGCTATGTATTAGCTCGGCGCTAGGCAACAAACAAACAAGCTAAACTGAGGTCCTCCATCCACATTCTCAGTTGCAGACTGAGTCATTCTTGTGTTCCCCTCTCTGTCATGTGGATGGAGGACCTCAGTGARGAGAGGAGAATGTGTAGCGCAGAGCTAATACATATATATGGTGATAGAATTGGGGCTAATGCTAAAGCTAACAGGCTAAGCTGAGGTTCTTCTTCCATGAAGCAGCTCTGTTGTCCTCCATCTATATTTTCAGTTACAGGCTGAGTCATTTCTACCTTCTCCTCTCTGTCAACGCTCTCTGGTTTCATTTAAAAGAGTCGATCATCAGATATTGTCCAAGATTAACCTTCAGGGTGGATATAGCTCACTCACACCGAGGACCTATCCACGTCATCATTTACCCAGAATGCTTTGTGTGTAAATAAAATGGCTCCATCCATGTAATATATTTTTTAATTTTTAGTTTAAAAATGATAAAAAAACTGCACAGCCTACTGCAGGGTTCACCAAAGCGGAAATAAACATTTCCACTTGCCTTTGACTCTGGTTTAAAAAGAAGACATTTTATTTTCTTAAATAAACACTACAGTATTTTTACAGTCTTTATTTTACAGTTAAAATACATGTTTATTAATTAAAGTCTAATGTAATAACTAATCAGGGATCCCTTCAAAAACAACACAATTTAAGATAACCACTGCATCAAACTCACACTTAGAAAATGGTAAATGGACTGAACTTGTATGGCGCTTCATCAAGCCCTATCGAGCTCCAAAGCGCTGTTATTCACCCATTCACACACATTACCCTTAGAAAACACAAATCTAAGAATTCAGCCACTTTTACAAATATTCAACTAAAATTTGATGTGGTAGTAGTAGCTGAGAGTCATCCACAACACATTTTCTAAGTTCTAACAGATCATGTGACGTATTGCAATAAAGCGTGAGATTGTACATACTGTTTTTTTCAAGGTTATTTCTCAACGTAAGATGAACTCTGATGTAAAATGTGTCCTTTAGTTAGACATTTAATTATAATGTTTCAATTTTGTAGCTATTTGACTATTTGATAAAGTTAAGTCACTTTATCAGAGGTCCCTACAATGACTCTTTTTACCAGTATAAATCATCAAAGTTTTTGTTTTACTTGTATACAATGCGGATAACCCTATTTACAAGTGTTTGGATGACAGATATTTTGAGGAAAGACCGTCTGCCTGCATTTCAGGGCATAATCCTGCAGAGTCTGACAGCCATTAAACCTCTCCCTGCCCTGCTGCTCCAGCTGCAGCACTTGACGTGCTCAGGTGGCCGACCGGGAGGTGAAAGTGGAGAAGGCGAGGCTCCGGTGCCTTCCCTCCGAGGGTTGCTGTGAGGTGTTCAGTTTCCATGGCAACGTGGCTCACACGGTCCCCACATGACGGGGCTGGGTTACTACAGGAGACGGGCCGCCGCCTTCGCCTGTGAACGTATGGTGGTTTTGTAAGAGGGGAGCTGGGAGAACGGGTGAGGTGGGGGTGAGGCTGTGCGGAGGCTTTTCTCCATATGTGTTATGATGGCGGCACTGTTGTTGCTTTGTGAACGAGTAACACACTCGTTTCCTCACAGCCTTCTCTCATTCACATAATTTGACTGTTCTTTTTGGCTTTGATCTCATTTTATAGAGTTACTGTTGTTTTCTATATGTAATGTTTTAATCTTTTACCCACCTTTCGTTAAATCTGGCTTCTTGTTTTATGTCCACCTCTTCTCTTCTTACCTCCCCTCTGGTGTTCACTTGTATGTGTTTAACTAATGCCGCCCTGGTCAGTAAATTCCCATCAGGCGGCAGTCCAGACAGCCAAAAGAGAAGAGGCTGATTGGAAACCTGTCTGCTGAATGGCTCCTTATTCTCTGCCTCCAGATTGCCTCTCTCTCTCCAGCATATGCATGGAAACCTCATTCTTCGCACGTAGTATTTGTCAATGCTACCCTCCACGCTGAGAAATGTCAGGCGTCTGCAGAGAGCGGTGCACAGGTACCGTGCCCAGAGACTTGCAGAGATTTTCCCTGAATGGCTCACTGTACTCTGCACCACCAGAGCTTGATGGATGCTTTGTTATTCCAGCGTTAAAGCTTTAATGCGCTGGCTTCTCAGTAACAGATGAGGAAGCACCAAATCCTCAGCTTCTATTCATTTTATCTCATTTAGTTTTTAACGTTTGAATTGATTTCAGACTATTAAAGGGCCAATATTATGTGTTTCTCAGGCATAAATGTAAATACTATACCATAACAAAGTATCTATGTCACCTTTAGCTGTTATTAAAACACTGCTTTTATGTTTAAATAGAAAATAAAATTGTCTTCTCATCACTTCCTCT